GCAGCAGCAGCAGCAGCAGCAGCAGCAGGGGGAGCAGCAGCAGCAGGGGCAGGGGGCGGGGCCGGCGGCGAGAGTCCCGGCGCAGAGGAAGCAGCAGCAACTGCAGCAGGAGGCTCGGTGCTGCTGCAAGCTGCTGCTGCTGAATTCCTCGAGAAAGTGGATGTGTGGCCGCTGCTGCTGCTGCACTATGAGCAGCAGCAAGCTGTTGTGGGGGGGGCTCTCAGCAACTTGAAGCCCGTGCTGCTGCAGCAAAGGCGCGCAGCAGCAAACAGAAGAAGGGAAGTGGGTTTCCGGGAGACTTCTGCTGCAGCAGAGAGGCGCGAGCCGCCTGCAGCAGCAGCTGCAGCAGCAGCACCCGCAGCAGCAGCAGCAACAACAGACAAAGAAGGAGAGACAATAGAGAAGCGGGTCTGTCTGCAGCAAACTGCTGCTCCTTTCTTCCTGCTGCAGCAGCTTTTCTCTTTTGCTTTTATGCTTCATTTCCAGCTGCCCCTCCTGTTCAATTTGCTGCTGCTGCTCTTGCTTCTTTTGCTGCTCTTGGTGCTACTCTTGCTGCTGCCGCTGCTGCTGTACTTGCTCCACTTGCTGCTGCTGCTGCTCTGGTTGCTGTTCCTGCTGATGCTGGTGGTGCATTTGCTCATGCTCCTGCTGCTCCTGCTGCAATTGCTTCTGCTGCTGCTGCTGCCGCTGCTGCTGCTGCTGCTGCTTGTTGCTTCAGGCGGACGAAGACTGGGACTTTTCTGGAAGCAGATTCGACTTATAGATTTTCATTTTTGGGTTCCTTTATTTGTCTGCATTCATCTCCTTGCAGTTTGCTGCTGCTGCGGCTGCAGCAGCAGCAGCAGCAGCAGACGCGAAGCAACAGATGCATACACAGACGAGACCGCGACAGCTGCAGCGGAAACAAACGCTGCAGCAGCAGCAAACGCCACAACAGCAGCAGACGCTGCAGCAGCAACAAACACTGCAGCAGCAGCAGCAAGAGTCCTGACAACAGCAGCAGAAAGTGCTACCGATTCAGGCAATAGCAGCTGCAGCGGCAGCAGCAACAACAGCAACAACAGCATCAACATCCTTTCCTTGACGAGCAGCAGCACGGGACGCAGTTGCTGCTGCGCCACAGATGTCCTCCAGCAGCAGCAGCAGCAGCAGCAGCAGCAGTTGTAGCTTCTAGCAGCAGCGACGGCAGTGCAGTGAGCCTGCCGAGGCATCTATAGCGCAGCTGTTAGCAGCAGCAGCAGCAGCAGGAGCAGAAACAGCAGCAACAAATGAAGCAGCAGCTTGAACAGCCACAGCACCAGGAGCTGTCATAGGCGCGAGATGTAGACCAGCAGCAGCAGCAGCAGCAGCAGCAGCAGCTGTGGAAGCAGCAGCAGCAGCCGCAGTGGTAGCAGCAACAGGCATTTTCTAGTATCTTCTGCTGCAAACATTAGTGCACATTTCAGCTGCAGCTGAGTCTCAGGGAACTGCAGCAGCAGCAGCTAGCGCAGCAGCAGCAGCTGGCGCAGCAGCAGCAGCAGCAGACGCTGCTACAATTGGTGCTGCAGCAGGAGCAGAAGCTGGCACTGTTGCTGCAACAGCAACAGGAGCAACATTAGTAGCAGCAGCAGCAGCAGCAGCACCTCGTGGTTTCTCAGGTGTACCCGTTGACTGTGCGTCTCGACAGAGACGCAGCACTTAAAAATATATGTGGTTTAGGGTTTAGGGTTTAGGGTTTAGGATTTAGGATTTGCGGGTGAGCAGAAACCCTAGGAAAGATATGGAAGCGGCGCATGAGCAGTAGCTAGGGTTTAGGGTTTAGACACAGCGCTAAACCGTAGTTAGGGTTTAGGGTTTAGGGTTTAGAGACGGCGCAAAAGCCTCGTGAGGGTTTAGGGTTTGGGGTTCAGGCTTTAGGGTTTGAGCCGCTGGCGGCTGTGTGGCTGTGGCTAAACTCTAAACCCTAGTGAGGGTTTGCTGCTGTGGGTAAACCCTAAACCCTAATTGGGGTTTAGGGTTTGTCGTCAGGCTGTTACTAAGACCCAAACCCCTAAACCCTAGTTGAGGGTCTAAGGCTTAGAAAACGTAATTGGGTGGATAAGCTATATGTAAAGAGCAAATAAAGCAAACGAAAACCCTTATTCACCGAATTAGTGTTAAGGGATTAGGGTTTAGGGTTCGGGGCCCCTGGGGCCCTGGAAACCTGAACTGCTGGGCTGCAGGGGCCCCCAGCTGTGGGGTTTAGAGCAGCAGAAACCTTTAATAATTATTTAATTATCTATTATTTAGTTATTTATTTATTTACTCATTTAAATTTAATTTCATTTCATTTTTTTGATTTTATTTCCAGCCAAACCCTACACCCTGAATTGTAGGCTGCGTGTTGAGCGACTGTGTCGATGCTGTCGGCGGTCAAACCCTAAACCCCAAACCCCAAACCCCGAACCCTAAACCCTAAACCCTAAACCC